CCCGCGCGGCCGCATTCTGGACCAGTTGCTCCTTGTGTGAGAAGGGGCGATCTAAGCCGTTCCCTGCTTTGTGCAGAAGTTGGAATCTGGAGAATCTTTTCTGCAACCTAGCTTAACCTACAGACAATGCATTTCTGCTCTACGAAAAAAAAGAGATGATGATCCTGGTCATTTGGAAAGAGAAATGTTGTAGGACTGGCTGGTTGATTATGAGCTTCTGGCCGGCGCTCCCTTCAGAAATGTGGCAATTGTTGCCACTGGAGTCGCTCTTGACGCGTTAAACCATTGTTCTTACAAATATTACTGGCAGTAGTTGCTGACAGGGTTAATAAGGTTGATGTTAATGTGTTCTAAGCAGTGGTGGGATTCAAATACCTGAACATCCGGTTCTCTGCGTGGATGCAGGCCTGGGCCTCCGAGGCCTAGAATGGACTTCCGGAAGTAACATCCATGCACTTCTGGCAGGCTGTTCTAGGCCTGGGAGGCCTCCTCCAGGCCTCCTCCCAGGCCTAGAACGGACTTCCAGAAGCAGCATGGGTTCAGCCGGTTGTCCGAACTCAACAAAATTTAGCTAACGGTTCTACCGAACCAGTGCAAACCGACTGAATCCCACCACTGGTTCTTCTAAGTTTTTCAGCTCAATTCTTCGGTGGAATGCTTTGTACCTTGTCACTTGTCTCTTTTTGAAACAGCATCTTATCCAAGCAAACTGTAAGAGGATGGAAATGATCTGACTGTTCTCCCCCTGAGAGTGTAACATATTTTTAAAGTTCCCAACTTTCAGCAGGTCATAATTAAGTGAAAGGGGCTGTTCAGGGAAGTGAAAGGAACTGAAAAAGATGGGTGTCAATAGTGCCACTTAAAGAACACAAGTACGCATACATAACGTATGCAACATTATTTTAGAGAATTATTCTTATTTACTGAATTAAGCTTCACTGGAGAGAAATAATATCCGTATTACTTACCAGTGGAATGTCCACACCCCACAGCTCTCCACCTAGCTTGCAATTAATCTGCAACAGAATCTTCTGTGCTATACTTCTAAGTTTAGTATAGTGTGTTGTAATGGTTCGAACGTTAATAACCTGTAGCAATTAATGATTAGAACGAGTAAATGCCTGAGCAAGAAACAAATGTTTCTCTTTCAGGAATTCTCAGTTTGATTATTGCATAAAATACATTTTAAACCATTCTACTTTGAGCTTAATTTTCTGACTTCACCAGAAAAGTCTAACCTCAAAATAGCCCCCTTTGGAACTTGAAACATTTCCACTAAAATCAGAAGGGCATCGAAATATTCCTTATGAAGTCAGAAATGGCCCTTTCAAAAGTCAAAACGGTTGAAATTCCATATTTTCCACATCTAATTCTAAGCTGTGATATAATTACAAGGTAATAAGAGATTATTGTTTAAAGTAAACAACTTTTTGTTTCCCCCTCACAAAAAATTAAGCCTCCATTCAACAAAAAATATTTAAACATATTTCCCAAAATAACACCCTTAAGTTATTAAAAATATAGACCATTTGATCAAGGCTCCTCCATATTTCTACGTACTAAAAAATCTGATTTTAAAGATCCATTTATTAAACTATTGAATTCTCAATTCACAATTAAAAGCTAAACGTTGTTGGCATTCATTAGTAAACGTTGGCTAATATTTAAATATCATAAAACTCTAACTCACTAGAATACAAAATGGTTCAAAGCTCATATACAAACTATGTATATATGAACAGTATAAACTGTTTCCTGTTACACCTAATATTCAGCCTGAAAGACACATCAGAGGCGCTTCATAAAAACACAGGTGATCAAACAAGTAGTATCATAATCAGCAATGTCCATTCAAGCATTTTTACAGGCTCAAGGAACAGACAACTGTTTACGTACCTGGGAAGGAACTGGGTTCTGTACATTGCACAGCCGTTTAATGGCCCTATACAAATCATCTTTAGTTCCTGTGATAATACAAACGACTAATTGTATTGGTCCCTTAATAAAGAGAAAGGACAGTGAGTAACCAGCTTGCAATAAGATCATTAAATATCAGCATACCACTATGGTTAGGCATATTGGGAGGTGAAACTAAGGTCATTTATTAATTTACGTCCTGCTTTTATTTTATGCAACTCAAGGCAGCGTAACTAATGCTTCCTTCTTGCAATTTACCCACAAGAACTCTAATAAGTGGGTTGTGTTAAGAGCCCAAAATCTCCCAATCCAGAATCTCACGGTCTCCTGATTTCTAGATTAGCACCCTAGCCACTACACCAAATGGGCTCTCTGCCATTACTTTACGATCGCAAAATTATTTCAAACCTGAATGCCAAACTACAGTGGTACTCTGATACTCAACTGCTTTGAAACTCATCAAATTTGATACTCAACACATTCTGATGCAAAAATTTCATCCCGATACTCATCGTATGTTTAGTACGCGACATACAAGCTAGAAATTGTCGGTGTCGGCTGCTTTCCTGAAGGGAAAAAAATTGTTTGGCCCTCGTTTTTTTTACCCATCGCACCTTCTGGAACCGATTAACAATACCGAGATACCACCGTATATGTCTGTTCATATTCCAACAAAATATGAATCCATTAGAAGGCAAAGTGTTGAGGCTCAGTAGCTTCTTCCCAGGAAAGTTTTACTAAGAGCTTGCTCTATGCATCCCAACCGTACACAACTCTTCCTTCTCCCTTCCTGCCTTAATATTCTGCATCTCAGTATACTTTATTTGAAAGTCAAGATCAATAAAGCTGCGAGAGAGAGAGAGAGAGAAAGAGAGAATCAAAGAGGAAACCAACATCGTAAAATCACAAACCTATACACTCGCACCTCACTACTTAGCAATGATTTGATAGCTCTGGCATAAGTCTCTATCCGGTCATCTTTCAACTCTTTCCAAATAGGTGCAGCCAACGGGATACCAAGCGGTCCTGAGATTTTTTGCAGCACGCTAACTAGTTCATGGGCTTGTTCCATCGCCCGCTTTGGGTAAAAGAGTGCCCAGAAATGAATTGGAACCTAAGAAATAAGAAGAAAAGTCAACATGTTTTTGACGCTTGAAATACACACATGCAAAAATGCATGGCTTCCCAGGTATTTGAGGATAATAGTATATTTTTACTACAGATTAGCTTGACTTACAACTACTCGTTGAGCAACCCAAGTTGCAATGACACTGAAAAGAAGTGACATATCTTTGCTCTAATGACTGTCCCAGCAACCCCATGGCCCTGTGATCAAAAGGCAAGGTCTTGGCAACTGGCAGGCATTTGTGACGGTTGCAGTGTTCCACAATCACCATTGGCGACCTTCTCAGCCGGCGTCTGACAAGCCAAGTCAACTGGTGAAGCTGGATTTGCTTAAAGACAGGATTCACTTAACAACGGCGATGACGTTATTTATTTATTATTTATTAAATTTGTTTACCGTCCATCTTGCCCCTGGGGCAACTCCAGGCGTCTTACAACATGAAAAGCTATAAAAACTGTAAATTGTAAATATTTCTAAAAACAGTAAGTATAGAATTACAAACCAAAGTAAAAGATGGGGATGGAGAGAGCAGGCTGTGTGGGTGAGGGGACTCCAGCATGAGAGTCCCCCATTGGTGCCCCGAGCCAACTGGCAAAGCCAGGTCTTCAGGCCCTTACAGAAGATCAGAAAGGTGGGGCTTCCGGTTTGACATTGCGGCGGAACGGGCGCAGGAAGACGGGGCTCCGTCTTTCGCGTTTGATTTCGCCCTGCTGGGGACCCTGGAAAGGGTCGAAATTCATAAAAAAAAAAGATCAGAAGGGTGGGAGCTGATCTCACCTTGCCAAGCATCTGAATTTGGATCATGTGGCCATGGGGATGCCGCAACAGTTATAAGTGTGAAAAACAGTCATAAGTCACTTTTTCCAGTGCGGCTGTAACTTTGAAAGGTCACTAAATAAACTGGTGTAAGTCGAGGACTATCTATATATTTTGAAGAGAATGCTGAATCAGCTGTTACACCCTACAGAAGAATGCCCACATCCAAAATTAAGCTTACGACAGAAATGCAGGGTTCTCTGCTGATTTCTTTAGTCCAGTTTAGGTCTTCAGATGTCTTGAAGGAGCATTTCTTCAGATTTACTCTTTCCATGGGAAGGATGCGTCCTGTGGTCTGAAACAAGCCAACAAACAGAAAACAGTCAAGCTGCATACAAGGCTATACCTGGGCCAGCTCTCAGCTCATTTTAATTCTAGAGCTCAGCATCAAATATACCTTAAAGCAGCGGTCCCCAACCTTTTCAGCTTGGCGGCCTGGTGCACGGATGTGGGTGTGTCTGTCTGTCTGAGTGGCAGGCATGTGCACATGCACACAGCTCCATTTGTGTAAGCAGCAGGTGCACGCACCCTCCGCACGTGCAAGTGGAGCTTTGCACGCATGTGCTTGCCCGCCGCTTGCGTAGCCAATTTCAAACAGGCTGCGGTAGTGGGCTACGGCCCAGGGGTTGGGGACCCCTGACTTAAAGCCTGCAAAACTCTTCCCTTCAACACTGTTTATCCTCCAAACGTCTTTGTGCAAAGTCCACATTTTTAGATGTGTTGAACCTCTGGCTATTTCACGGATTTCAAACAGGTTCAGCAAAGGTTGTGTTACGATTTTCAATATCTATGAAGTTGCACAAGGCAGAACCTCAAGACTGAGAATTTGTTGTAGATATGCCCCCTCCAACTCACAAGAAGCGATTTTGGGCATTGTGTAGCAAAACTAGCATAAAACAACAAACATGTTTAAACAGTCATATTTTTTTAAAATAAAGTAATAAGAGCAATGAAGCCACTTGAAGATCTCACTGGTCCCCTGAAACATGACAAAGGTTTAACGACAAAGCCAGATTTTTATGGACTTCCAGAAAATAAGGAGATTAGCTAATTTATTTGGGGGGGGGGAGATGTGGGCACTACAGCAGAAAAGACCCACCTCCTTGGGCCTACCAAGTGTAGTTCCCTGGAGCCCGTAGCATGTCTCTCTTGCTAGAGCTGATGGGATGAGCGGATGTAATTGGGAAAATGTAGTTCCTCAAATAAATCAACCCGTGCCATGAAAGGCATTAAAGTTCCTAGAGAGAGAAGGAGTGCTGCTGAACCCTGTCAATTTCAAAAAAAAAGAAAAAAGGAACAATTCTCTCCCCAGTGTGATTTCCTCAAAAATTAAAACTGAATTTCAATTTGTACTGTAGTACAGAACGTCTCCTTGAAGCCTGCAGTTTTCCAAGAAGACAGACATGGAGAAGTTGGTGAACCAAGATTACGGGTAGAAAAGGAAACAAAAATAAGCTTTGAAGTTGGGCAGTCATCGAAAATAAAACCTCTCTCTTTGTGAGGTCTAATTTTTAAAAGATTTTCAATTCTTCAGCTCGGCTGCCCTGAGCTTCTAATAATCAGGTATAAAATTATTGTCAAAGTATATTCAGAGCTGTCCACCAGCTCATGGCAGGAAAGAGGTGACAAATGCAGAGATCAATCTTACATAACTTTCTGATCAGGGCCAAAAATTACTACCTTTGGGTAAATACTCTCGGGACTTTGCAGAAGTGAACGACCTATTTATTTTCTGGTATTAACAGTTCTCCTAGATCAGGGGTAGGCAACCTTGGCCCCTTCATGACTCGTGAACTTCAACTACCAGAATTCCTGAGCCAGCATGGGGGAAAGTTTAGCCCCTTCATGACTCGTGGACTTCAACTCCCAGAATTCCTGAGCCAGCATGGCTCAGCTTGGAAACCTCTCCCTTTCCCCTCAGCATGGCTGGCTCAGGAATTCTGGGAGTTGAAGTCCACGCGTCATAAAAGAGCCAAGGTTGCCTACCCGTCCTAGATGCTGAAAAATAATCACAAAATAAAGGAGGAAAAAATAAATAGCTTAGCCATTTATTTCCTACAACATAGCACAAAGCAAAAAAAAAAAAAGAAGAAGAAGAACAAGGGGAAAGTAGCGTATCAATCTGTTTTTGTGAAAGTTGTTCTTCATAAAAGAGGCAGGATCCTATCAGGCAAAGTTAAAAGAACAGGCAAGGCTAGCACAAAAGTTTCCTTACCCTATAAACATCCCCATCCAGGAAAAGCCCCCACCGTGACAATTCCTTATGGGCAGCCTCATTCTTCTCAATCCTGCTCAGCAGTTGCTTCAGAGAGGTGTGATGCTGTTCGGGACTCATGTTGACTTTCTGCGTAAGGTCCTAAGCGGAGTGGATACAGCCAGAGAAAAAGGCACTTCAGCTTGAATTCAAAAAGGAAGCATACACAACTCATTGCCAGCAAAGCAATTTGAAGGAGGAGCTTCTCCAGTTACTTGCTTTTAAATCCGCAAGGAACAGAAATCCAGAGGGGAGATATTACACTTAAAAAAAAAAAACCAGGAGTTTTGTTTGCACAAGATGGTCCCCATCTTGGCTTTTTCATATCCTCTGAACAGAATCCTCTCTATAGCAGGTCCTTGGTTTACAACCACAGTTGAGCCCACCATTTTTGTTGCTAAATGAGACAGTTCTTAAGTGAGTTTTGCCCCATTTTACGACCTTTCTTGCCAGTTATTAACTGAATCACTGCAGTTGTTAAGTTAGTAACCCGGGTGTTGACTTCCTCCATTGACTTTGCTTGTCAGATGGTCGCAAAAGGTGATCACATGACCCTGGGACACTGCGACCGTCATAAATATGAGTCAGTTGCCGATCGTCTGAATTTTGATCATGTAACCATGGGGATACTGCAAAGGTCAGTTAAGTCTGAAAAATGAGTCATAAATTACTTTTTTTCAGTGCTGTTGATAAGTCTGAACAGTCACTAAACAAATGGTTGTACATCAAGGACTATCTGCTAACATTGGATGTTCTTGCTTTGACAGACTTGTATATAATATCTACTAAAACTTTGTTTCAAACCGGTCAGTCCTAGAGGAGAACAACCCTGACTGCTCTTTAGAAGGCCAGATCCTGAAGTTGAAACTCAAGTACTTTGGCCACCTAATGAGAAGGAAGGACTCACAGGAGAAGAGCCTAATGCTGGGAAAGATGGAGGGCAATAGAAGAAGGGGACGACAGAGAATGAGGGGGCTGGATGGAGTCACTGAAGCAGTAGGCGGGAGCTTAAATGGACTCCGGAAGATGGTAGAGGACAGGAAGGTCTGGAGGAACGTTGTCCATGGGGTTGCGATGGGTCATATCAGATATGACTTCGCAACTAACAAGAACAACAACGTCTTTACAAGAAAAATACCATTACTGTCTTGTGATCTGAGTAGGAGAAGTAAATCGTTAGTGATTAGTGACTACAACTTTTGGCTGATTAGAGAACAAGCTTAAAATGTCAGCCATCCTTACGTCACCACGTTTAGTCTCAGGGAACTGTTCAAGCAGAGCGAGCCGAGAAAGATTCAGAAGCTATCGAACCAACAAAATCAGGGCTCTCAATGGCCGGCTACAACTTAAAAGTTGGTGAGAGGCCAAATACTTGATGTAAGAGGTTGAGAATTTTATAAACAAATTCCAATTCTGTATAAAACATACAATCAAGCACCTTCATAATTCTAAAATCTTTTCTCATGTTTTCAGGAATTCCTGTCAAGAACGAAAGCTCTGGCACGAGCAGGATTTCACCTTCCTGAAGCTGCAGGAAAATCAAATGCAAAACCTATTAGGCACACAGGATGTACAGAAATAAATTATTATTATTATCAGCTGGGTTCATGTACGCCATATACACATTAGATAATAAAGGGAAAGCTGATGGGGACAAGAAAACCAAATAGGTGATAGGGTGTTGGTTTTTTAATTGTCACAATTTTCTCCCCAAACCCAGTGAATAAACGTTAAGCGATAGTTGCACGAGTACAAGGTTTGCATAGCTAAGCATTGAGAGCTAATGGCTTATGACTAACACTCAGAGATGTCTTTTCTTAGCACTAATAAGTTAGAACATAGAATAACAGAGTTGGAAGAGACCTTGGAGGTCATCAAGTCCCATCCCCAACTCGAGCAGGAGACCCTATACCAGTGGTTCTCAACCTTTTTAATGCCGCGACCCCCAACCGGTCGTAAGTCGAGGACTAAACCGGTCGTAAGTCGAGGACTAAACCGGTCGTAAGTCAAGGACTAAACCGGTCGTAAGTCGAGGACTTTCCCTGCCCGGGAGCGCCACGCATGCGTGGTTCCGCCCCCTGCGCCGGCTGAGGCGTAGCTGGCAAGCGGCAGAGACGGAGCAGGCCGACCACCAGCTGGCCCAGCCCAAGGGAGGTAAGGCACCCGCCGGAAAAGGGAAAAAAAAATGGCGGACAGCCTTGCTTGGCGACCCCCATGAAATGGTCAATCGACCCCAAATGGGGTCCCGACCCACAGGTTGAGAACCACTGCCCTATACCATTTCAGACAAATGGCTCTCCAGTCTCTTCTTGAAAGCTTCCAGTGTTAAGACTAACTTCTCCTCCTGTTTGTTGCTGGAGTTAATCTGGAAGACTGAAGGGCTTGAGCAACAATGGCCAATTTCCAATATTATGCCAGCTGAAATGCTTGTATTCATACAAGGGCTTAAATCATAAGAGTGAGGGGCATCATAGCCTAAAGCTTCCCTCTAAATTGGTTAGTCTATTTACAAAAAAAAACAAAAAACTGAGGGTGGGGAACATCTGAGGGGTAGGGCTGATGGTGAGAGAAACGCAATCCTCTGTAAAAGCTCAAAAGTGATCCTAGCCCAGAAACCTCACCCAAGACAGGTCACGTAAATCAAGCCACTCTAGGGATGCCTGTGTTACAAATGCCAGCAATTGGTTGCTTCTAACTGCAACTGCTCAAATTCTCACCTTTCCTGGAGGGTTTTTCCTTCTTTCAACTCTGTAAATCAACAGTGGCTGATCAAGTTCTCTGATGGTAATCCCATAATTTTTACTGGAAAGAGAATGTTATATGAATTCTAGGAAGAAAACAAAACTTGCTCGATAATTTTAAATATCAATAGCTAAAGGACTCATGAAAACAACTCCAGTTAAGCCAAAGTACTTAATGACTTTGATCATGGTTGACACTTTAACCAATCTTAAGCAAGATACTGAATGTCTTACTCCCATTATTCCCCCCCCCTTTTATTTAGAAACAGTGAATCATAACCATTTACCTGTAATACTCTAGAAAAGTGATTTCCTTCCCATCTGACAAGGTAAAACTGCTCTGTGGTGTCTTGTTCCAATCAATGTCATCAATTCGGTAATTTTTATTGTTGTAACGGGTAATTATGATGTTGCCAATAAGTTGCTTGGTGCATTCATCTTGGAAATTTTCCTGACTCTGTTGATAAATTCTATGCCTTTATAAAAATAGAAATACTTAAAAGTTAAAAACCAGGAAGGGCCAAGTTGTAGTCTGACCTCGAGTTTACCAGCCGTCTTTAAGAAGTCTGTTTACCCCACTGGCAGCATTCCATCTGCCAAATACTCTCATCTTACTCTAACTTTGCAATGCTTTGGAGTTCTTGGTGCCCTCTGACCTTGGTTGTTTGCTTACAGATGTTTCATTAGTGAACCAGGTAAGTGCAAGTGAGTGCAGGGTTCGTTGCCTGTTTATATTCAGGAGTTTGCCCTGCCAGTTTTGGTGGAAGTCTAATTGCCTACTTCGTAGTTCCTTGATTAAAATGTCGTTTTCTGTCTGATTGTCTGGTGCTGATCCCTGCTGCTTATCTGAATGTCGGTTGCTGGAAGGGATGTGCTGTAGCCTTTCTGTTTTTTTATTCTCTTTTGAATGCTGTGGAATGGTCTTAGACAGCCAAATAATGAGTGGCATGAGATATACTTGGCATATTTGATGGTTCAATATAAACGTATTCTGAGAATTCCGCATTTTAGAACACACAGGATCAACACCATCTTATGATTCTCTGTTATGGCACCAGCTCTCTGGAACACCATCATCGTGATGACCCAAAGTCCTCCAAGGCCAACTTTTTCCCCAGTCTTAAGATTAGATGGATGTTAAGATTTTTTCAATTTCTTTGGATATACATGTTATTGTTGTTTTACTTTTTAAACTGTAAGTCACCCAGAGTATTTAGAATCAGATGGCCCCTAAATGTTAAAAGGCAATTAAAATACATTATAATAGAAAAAATGTTTTTTTCCTAACTAGAGATATGCAGTTACAAATAACAAATTGAAGGTCATAAAAGATACAAAGAAATATTTGCTATAAATACATAAGCCGGGGAGATCTGAGCACATTTCATCTCACAATAGCACATGCAATGCTCATACACCACATCTTGCTCTTAGATCCAACCTAATGAATTTTATCTTCTTTCTAAAGACTATTTTACAGATGGTTCGCCCCTTCCAAAATCAATTCCTACACGAACTCTGGGACTCATGACCCAAACAAAGTAAACTTCAGGAGCAATCTTGCTTGGGCACTGGTTTTGTTCCATCACAAAAAAATAAGGGTCACACTATCCCTAATGGTCTTTTTGCAATGTTTTCCATTGAAGAGATCAGTATTTTTACTCACATCAGATTCAGGACTGAATCGTTCCGAATAACCTTATGAACAGCATCAACCAACAAAAACAGCCCACCGTCTGTCCTTCGGATACTGGCTGCATAGCCCGGCCATATTTGCAACCTTTCAGAAAAATAAACAAGAGGCTAATTTTTAGTATCAAAGGGAAACTGCTTAACTGAAAGATGCAGTCAAATTGATGGCATAGTCATAGTTAATCATTGCTGCTGTCTGTTTTCACTGTTTACAATCCCCACTAGTTATCCTATGCAATTGATGGGAAATTAAAATATACTGCCATAGAACAAAGGCTCAGATAATAACATTTATTACGTGATGAAATCGCACTCTAATTTATTGTTATATATATTATTAATATCCCTAGACCACCCAGAGCTCACTAGCTCACAAGTAAATGAATAAAATAATCCACCAAAAATAGGCCACTGTATTTTTTTTTAAGCCTTTCCAAAGATACAAGGCAGCTAATTTTGGTATATATTGCAATTAGCCAAGGTGGCTCAATTTGCACCTACTGAATTTTTGCTACAAAATGTGTGAAAGTATAACGGCGTAAACATATATTTTAAAAGAACGTTGCTTCTAATGCACAGCATATCTTTCAAATTATCAAACACTAAAACACCGTAGTACACAAAGCAACATACCAACCTGTACTGCTGAAGTACAGTAGCGCTAGTAGGATCGTAGAAATTTCTCCCAACAAGTTTCATATCTAAAATCTTCATCACTCTAGAATAACATTTTAAAAAAAACCAAGATAAATATGAGACTGGGAAATGAGATTGCTCTTTAAGCCATGAACACAGGGCACAAAAAAAATCATATTATTTGGCCAATCCCTTTAAAAAAGGAGGGCAGAAGAACCTAGATCAGTTCCCACAGGAATTAGTTATCAAACATCTTTGGATCAGAGCCAGAACTAAAGACTTCCATCTCTTTCTCCAATTCTTAAATGATGGTGGACTTCCCGCCACTTGCTTTTGATCCTGGACGCGAAGGATACCCAGACTATATTTCTGGTAATAGCCATCCCTGGTGTTAAATCTCTTTGCTTCCCTTTATTCATTTCAAGATTTCGAGAGAAATCCCTAAGCACAACCCAGAGTCCCAGTGTATTCCAGCATCCACCAGCAGAGCAGGCATGAAATGGCCTTCTTCTAAATGCAGGCTCCATTGTTTTAAATAAGAACGACTCCCATTTTTTTCTGCAGCTTGATGAGCAAGTGCCAAGAATCAAAACTGTTCCCCGTCCCGGGGGCTCTTTTTTTAAAAATAATTTAAAATAAATTACGCACTTTCTGAAAATAACGTTGTAAAACGGGATGCACAACTCTGAACTCGGTTCCAGAACTTTGGTCATCTGAATCTTTAAATTGACTTCCATTCCATCTGTCTTTCTTTCACACCTCAGGTTAACATTCTAAAGGGGAAGACATATATTCTATCAGAAGTCAAATACAGGCCAGTAAGACAGCCTAAGAATTCTAAAATAATTTTGTTTGCAAAATAATCAATTTCAATTCTTGCCAATTATTAAATATTGCAGTAAAAAGATACTATGCATAACTTAGCTATCTCAAGCTAACAAGAGGAACATTTCAGTGTTTTGTTTTCGAATTAGTCTATCAACACGAAATAAAGACAAAATGAAACATAAATCAAAAGTGAAACAAACCATCGTTTATAACTACGCCATGTTATTTTGTTGCTACTGAAGTTGCATATTGTACTAATATACAGTAATTCTTTTGCTATATTGCCAATTCTTATCTTTACTGTTACGAAAACCCCTTGAAACATAAAGGCTGGACAACTTTTTTTTCCTCCTGTGTGGAAAGAGGCACCCTTGAAAGCAAGCTCACGCTTAATATAATATTAACAGAATAACAAAGTTGAAAGGGACTTTGGGGGTCTTCAACCCCCTGCTCAAGCAGGAGACCCTAAATCCATTTCAGACAAATGGCTGTCCAATCTCTTTTTGAAAACCTCCAATGATGGAGCACCCACAACTTCTGGAAGCAAGTTGTTCCACTGATTAACTGTTCTCACTGTCAGGAAATTTCTCCTTATTTTTAGGTTGGTTCTCTCCTTGATTAGTTTCCATCCATTGCTTGTTGTTCTGCCTTCAGATGCCTTGGAGAACAGGTTGACCCCCCTCTTCTTTGTGGCAGTCCCTTAGATATTGGATCATTGTTATCATGCCACCCCTAGTTCTTCTTTTCATGTTCTCTTTTAAGAAAATGAACTGGAATTAAAATTGGAATTAAACACCGTTGTCAGATACAATTGTTGCAGCAAACTCTTCTGTTTCTTTCCTCGATCTTACCTGAGGCAACTTGATGGGTAAATAGAGAAGAGAGCCATCAAATGCGGAAATATCTCCTATCACCAACTGATGTTCCTTCAGCATCCTAAGACGCATGCTTTTACATTCCATGTTTGGGCTGAAAGACAAAAAAGAAAATCAAGGGGGGGGAAATGGTTGGTTCATTTTTATTAGAAAAAAAGAGTGTGCATTTCTGTTCGTTTTGGTTAAGAAGAACAGAGATAACCACACATGAAAAACGTCACAATTCATTCCTTAACATCATTAGAAAGGCAGCTTCTACATACTGGTTGGCTACACTATTTCACTGAAAGAGTTTTAACTATTTTTTTTTCCCCAGTCTTGGCTTCAAATAAGATGCATGGCCTTTAGGATGCATTTCCACAAGAAAAATGTTCAGATTCCCTACAGCTTTACATTATCAAGTGAAATACATGAACGGATAGACCCTTTGATGGTCCCCCCCCAAAATCTTTAACACGGTAGCATCCATAGCTAGATTGGTTAGATAAAATGGCTGCCCTTGGATGCAATAAATATTTGGGTTGAGACTAACCACCTTCTAACAAAAGATGCCTTCTTAGCTCATAAAGGCAGCAAATAGTGCTTTCAAAAGCACCTTATCAAGACAACTTTGGGGTTTAGAAAGTATGAAAGGTCTTCCACATAGCTTTAAGGATTCGAAAACACGGTTTATATTCCTTTAAATTCCACCATATAAAATACGGGAAGAAGCATCAATTGGACTACAACTTAGAGAACAAGTTGGATGTTGGATCTTCTGTCCACATTCAGTTACTGAAGCCATGACAGACCCCAAAGCAACGGCCTTCAACTGTTGAGGAAAGAGTAAGACTCAAGAACTATTACCTGAACGTCACGTGGTACTGATACACAGCTTCGTTTTTACAGTGTATTTGAATCAGATTCAGTGCCAAAGGGATCGGTACTCCATTTGACCCTTGCTTCATAAGTGGTTCTCTGGAAGGAGGAAAGGGCCCCGTTACGTGGCTGCATTATTAATTAATTAATCATCAAAGCTTCATACCATTTCTCACTTACTTTTTATCCACAGGCTCATCAGACACTACAGGAGGAGGACCAGGCTTGATTGATGGTGCTGGAAAACAACTTTCCGCAGTCGAAGTAAAAGGGTCTGTGTAGGCTCGGCCACGGCCTAAGATGCTTGTTCTGTCAAGCCCCCAAGACGGCTTTTCACTTTCCATATAGCTGGGTATCCCGGAAAATGTTTAAAAGGGGAACAAAAAAAAAATGTCAAGAATCGGGAATGCTGGTAGTTGAAGTCCACAAGTCATAAAAGAGCCATCGTTCCCCACCCGTTCTAAAGCAACATTTTGATTTGTATCCCAGTTTTATTTATACATTTCAAGGTGGCATGCATAATACTCCTTCCTCCTGCCATTTCCCCAAAACCACCACCCTGTGGTGTGTGGATTGGACTGAGATGGACTGGCCAGAGGTCCAGAGCTTAGCTGGCTCAGGAATTCTGGGAGTTGAAGTCCACGAGTCATAAAAGAGCCAAGGTTGACTACCCCTGGTCTAAGCGAAGACTTCCGGTTTCCCGTCCAACTCCTTAAATACTTTACCAAACTGGCTCTCAATGTTAGTCGTGTTTAAGAATTCGGTGTTTCGGTGTTGTTAAATTAAACCTGGATTTTCTGAATCCAAACTCAAAATTATGAATAGCCATAGGCATAACAATGAGATCACACTTCAAGAATACCCTTGGCAGGTTAATAGCAACAGCATTAGCACTTAGACTTATTTACTGCTTCAACAGTGTAATATAAATATTCCAAAAATCACAAATATTGCAGCTATGAATGCAATGTTCACGTTAGATAAACCTCACTGATATCTCTTCACGACTTGCAATACTTAAAATACCTTCAGATTTTTTAAAAAAATAAATAAATCAGAAAATAGACAATTCTGTTGTTTTGTTTCCAAAAGCAGCCATTTTTCAGAACAGAAAGGTGTGCAGGGAGACACAAATTATGAGCATTCGCTTTCACAGGACTGGGGGCTCTTCTATGTGTAATTATCACCTATACATAACTGTCACAGCGCCTTTCTCCTTAAAATAAAAGCAGCCAGTTTTATCATTGAAACTTAAATCAGAAAAACGATAAACAGAACACTAAGCTGACTTCACGCTTAGTTGTCCAAAGACTAGACCAGGGGTAGGCAACCTTGGCTATTTTATGACTCGTGGACTTCAACTCCCAGAATTCCTGAGCCAGCATGAGGGAAACTTTGACCCCTTCATGACTCCTGGACTTCAACTCCCAGAATTCCTGAGCCAGCATGGGGAAACTATGCCCCCCTCATGACTGGTGGACTTCAACTCCCCGAATTCCTGAGCCAGCATGGCTCAGCTTGGAAACCTCTCCCTTTCCCCTCAGCACGGCTGGCTCAGGAATTCTGGGAGTTGAAGTCCACGAGTCATAAAACAGCCAAGGTTGCTTACCCCTGGACTATACCAATCAAAGTGACCGAATTACAGGATGTTTAATGCAACTTGCCATTTTTACCAACCACCTTGACCCCAAGGTTGCTTAACTCACTTGCCACGGCCAAGAAGCATCGGTTCCACCTTGGTGTCTCCAGCTGGTCCTGCTCTCCACCCTGGACACATCTGCTGTCCCAGGACATCTACTTTGGACTTCATGCTCATGTCGCCCATGCCTCTCCCTGCAATGCCTCGGCCTGAACAGACTGCTTGAAAAACAAAGTCAAGATAGAGCCCAGGTTTTTCTTACAGTTCCAAATAGTAATAATAATAATAATAATAATAATAATAATAATAATAATAATAATAATAATAATAATAGTAGTAGTAGTAGTAGTAGTAGTAGTAGTAGTAGTAGTAGTAGTAATAGTGGTAAAGTTGGAAGGGACCTTGGAGGTCATCTAGTCCAACCCCCTGCTCAGGCAGGAAACCCTATACCATTTCGGACAAATGGCTGTCCAGTCTCTTCTTAAAAACTTCCAGTGTTGGAGCATTCACCGCATCTGGAGGCAGGTTGTTCCACTGGTTAATTGCTCTAACTGTCAGGAAGTTTCTCCTTAGTTCTAGGTTGCTTCTCTCCTTGATTAGTTTCCATCCGTTGCTTCTTGTCCTGCCTCCGGGCGCCTTGGAGAATAGCTTGACTCCCTCTTCTTTGGGGCAGCCCCTGAGATACTGGAACACTGCTATCATGTCCCCCCTCGTCCTTCTCTTCGTTAAACTAGATTAGATAATCACTCAGGTATAAGAAAAGAAGATTCTAAATAGCAAGAGAGCTTACCCAAAGGGGGTCCAGGAGCTGCCTCAAGACTAAGGCCCTGAACCATGGACGACAACGTTGGACCAGTCACGAAAGGCTCCTGAATTAGAACACACAGATTTGCTTAACGACTGTAGTAAGAAAGGTTGCACAATAGGGCAAAATTACTTGACAAACGTCTCACTTAACAATAGAAATTTTGAGCTCCGTTGAGGTTGTAAGTCAAGGATTACCTGTAGGTTGTTTCATCCATTTTGTTAATGACTAAAATATAAATCAAATCAAATTTACTACAGCCCTAAGGCCAAATACAAACAAAATACTGAACAATTATATAAAAGTACCACATCCTCCTGCTGCTGTTACTAATATCCAGAGTCTGGGGCAAGTCCATGGGCAGAACAAATAGGGACAGTTTGGGAAACAGGATCAGAAGGTTAGATACTTTGAAAGGAATTTACTTGCAAGAAGGATTAGCATGTTGTGGATGGGGCAGCCATTAGACCAGGGGTGTCAAACTGCCGGCCCACGGGCCAAATGCAAAACCGCGCCCACCCACTGCCGGCAATGGCAAAAAAAAGTCGCGATACGTCATGACACGTCACGTGATGTTGCAAGTTTGAAACCCCTGCATTAGATGAACAGAATCAGGATCCATGCAGGGGAAGGCTGATGAAGTGGGACTATAGTTTGACTGGTCTGTTCTTTAATGTTGAGTTGTGAGAAAAGATCACCAGTGGGAGGAACATCTGGGAGGTTACAAAGAGATTGTGTTATGCTGATCGGTTTGGTGTTCCCTTCTTTTGCCTGGGGTGCGTTCTTTTTTTGTTGTTTTAGGCACTCAGAAAATGAACTTGTCAACTTTTTAACAGGAAGACACCTGGAGAGTAGCAAAGTGTTGAGAGAGTCAAATGCAGCAGTCACTGATTTCACTACCTCAAGTTTGCATATGATGGTTTATTGATCTTCTCTATGGACAGGATGCTGAACAACTGAGCTAGTTCTTTTTCATTTTCCATGGGGTCAGCTGATGTCTATTTTTCCTTTAATTAGATCAAGGGTGTGACCTTGGAAGTGGTGGAGCATTCTGCTGTATAGGTAGTTGCTGACTGATGTTATGAGCTCTGGAGCTTATGCTATCTTCTCTTGTGACCTTGGCTCTCCTCCCAGAATTTAGCAGAGGCCATATACTGCCATTGTAAAAAAATATGTATGTTTACATTTAAGGATCATTGAAGGGAGTGCAAGATGGCTAAAAGCCAATATTATTCTCCCAAGATGTTTCCATCTGGGAAGCCAAGATTTTTGTGTAAATTTGGTGGAAGATACTCTGTGGTGAAGCTGTTGTGATAGGGACTTGTAGTACTCATTTTTCGCCATGTATATGTATACATTTGAAGTAGACTGTGAAGCTTCTGTGTCATATGTGGGTATATGCATAATGATATTTTTTTGAGAGTTGAATGCAACAAAATTTCATTTTAATGTATGCTGATTAGTATACATTTAAAGTGACAATAAAGTTATTCTATTCTTATTCCTATTCCATTCCATTCTATTCTTCACCTATCTGTATTGACAGGATAAATTGCAATCTGCAGCAAAATCCTGTATCCTGCAAGACTAGCTCATCCTTAGACATTTCCATACATGCGAAGTCTTGTGCAAGTATGCATGTTCTGGAACAGCTGGGTTGGTAACTGGTTCCATGACAGGTTTTTCCATTACAGCCTTAAGTCCATCTACTTTTTGAATGACATCTAGTAGCTGATCAAAAATTGCAATAATTGCTTTTGCAATCAGGAGGCAGTTCTTAGCAACCAAGTCCACATCAGGTTTAAATTATTTATGGTTTTAAAAGTATCCTCCCCTCTATTTTCTACAGAAGCCTCATCTTTGGAGGAAGGGAAATCATCCACTTCCCAAATAGGGCAAAGGATTTATTGGTGGAGATTGCAGACTGGGAGGGGGGAAGAGGCTTACATACTATGTCCTTGGGCTGAAATAGCATTTAATTTCAACTGTCTCTTCAGTCAGTTTCAGAAAAACCATGCATTTTATGAATTCAACTGCCTATATACTCTTCCAGCCAAAGGAGTAAAATACCATACATTCAATAGGTTTCAGGTTCAATCTAAACAGAAATTTACGTGACATCAACTACTACTGTAAAAATCATGTATTCACCTTTGATGCACTTCTTGGTGATGGGTATCCTCTTTCTGCCCTGACTGTTGAAAGGAAGGTTTTGCCCCCAAATTCTGCAGTCTTTCCAGCTTCAGACACCTGTGGCAAAGATTCTGGCCTGTGCCCAGCCAGAGACATCTGAAACATGGCTCCACCCCGAAACACTGGCCTCGTGGGATACATGGTTCTGCTTGGAAGAAAACGTGGATTTCAGGAAGATACAAAGTATTTGCAGAAGCAAAAGGCCACCTAAGTAGCCACAAGGCTGCGTATGAGCATCCTATGGCAAACACCCCCTCGCCAACACCCTCTTCCCCTGCCAATCTAGAATAGACAGAATAACAGAGTTGGAAGGGTCCTTGGAGGTCTTCTAGTCCAACCCCCTGCTCAGGCAGGAAACCCGTATCCCATTTCAGACAAATGCTTGTCCCATCTCTTCTTTCAAAACTTCCAGTGTTGGGAGCATCCACAATTTCTGGAGGCAAGTCGTTCCTCTGCTTAATTGCTGCGTCAGGAAATTTTCTCCTTCTTTCTAAATCGATTTTCTCCTTGCTTAAGTTTCCATACAACAGGGGGTCTTCCAACGTGGCCCTTTTATGACTGGT